ACAACAACAAAACCCCTCATTTCTTTAATTTTGTTTCTAGTGAAGATATTTCTTTAATGTATGGGGATGGTTCTCTTGTGCTTTACCTTTGTTCTTTACATATGTTTATGCATTTTTGTTTCTATGCTTTTCTTTTTATGACCATTTATATAAAGAACATAAATATGCATTGTCATTGTGGTTCCAAGTTTGTCTTTCGGTTTCTATTAAAATCGTTTTGTTTTTTGAGTACCAATTTTTATATAAACAGATTCCTTAGAATTTATCCTATTTCTGTTATTTGAAAAGTAACCTATATAACTCAATCAAGACAGTTGAAGGTGAGCAAAGTAAAAGAAGAAAAAAGGGGGAAAAAAAAGGAAAAAAGAAATAACAAAAGTTATCTGACCTCCAAAACATCCAGAAAGACTTATCCTCTTGTTTTCTAGTTTGCCTGTACATTGGTTGGTTTTATATATAACTTCTAAAAGATCATTCCAAATGTATCTTGGGTATGAGTTGACCACCTCTCTCCCAGATTTTAAGCCCTACACCACAACTTTTATTAAATAATGTATTCTAAGATTTATTGGTTTAGACTGTTTCTTTGCTATAAATTATCTTTACACTTCTCTTTCAGAGCTGTTTCGCAATTCCATTCGTCTGTCTGTCTGCACTTGCTCTGCTACACTTCATAAATATCTGTGTTTTATTTTGATATTTAATATTTAGTAAAATTTTGCCTTTTTACTTGAGGGGGTCAGAGTGGTGATAGTAATATGTTTATTTTTTCACTATTCTCAAATTAAAAACAACACTACAGATTTCAAAAAATAGAATCACAAAGTAAAAATCGAAACTAACTTGCAGTATTACTCATTGGAGACAGCCTATTTAAAGGAGTATTTTCAGGCACCGTGGCTTGTGTGTATAATCCCAGTGAATAAGAAGGCTGAAGCAGGAGGACTGGTTGAGGCCAGGAGTTTGAGACCGGCCTGAGCAGCTTAGCAAGTTACTATCTCTACAAAAAAATTTTAAAAGCCAGGCATGATGGTGCAACCCTGTAGTCCCTCTCACTTGGGAGGCTGAGGCAGCAGAATTGGTTGAGTCCTGGAGTTTGAGACTGTAGTGAGCTATGATTACACCACTGTACTGTAGCTTCCTTGGCAGAGCAAGACCCCATCTCTAAAAAAAAAAACTAAAATTATCTTTTGAAAAAAGGAAAATTTATTCTTTTTTTAAGAAACAAAAATGACGTAACTATTTTACCAATTTTTATGACCACATAGTAAACTAACTCAAAACCTAGTAGTTTAAAATAATGACCAGGCCAGGTGTGGTGGCACATACCTGTAATCCTAGCATTTTGGGAGGCCAAGGCAGGTAAATGGCTTGAGGTCAGGATTTTGAGACCAGCCTCGGCAACATGGCAAAACCCCGCCTCAACAAAAAATACAAAGTTAGCTGGGCATGGTGACAAGCTTCTTGTAGTCTGAGCTACTTGGGAGGCTGAGTTAGAAAGATGGCTTCAGCCCAGTAGGTAGCGGTTGCAGTGAGCTCTGATCACACAACTACACTATAGTCTTGGCAGCATAACCAGGCCTCATCTCAAAAATAAACCACATTTATTGCTTTCCCCATTGTAGGATCAGCTGAGCAGTTCTGCTGATCTGGGCCAGGCTGGGTTGAGTTAATTTTGATTTGTTGGTCTTTCCTCCTCCATAAGGGAGCTCTGGGCTCTTACTATGGCAGAGGCAAGTTTTGGGAGAGGGCGGGGCACATAAGGCCTCTAGGAACTTGTGCTCCACTTGACAGAATTGACTGACGTGACCATAGTGGGAAACAGGCATAACTCTCTGATAGGAAGAGCTGAAAGTTATATTTCATGGAACAGGAAATAATGTTTTTGTTTTTCAGATTTGCAGTGCATGTGTGACACTAAGGAATTATTTCTAAACAGCATTTTTTAAAAAGGATCATTTCTGTGGTGTATAATGCAAAGATTTAAAAACCATGTTTTTGATGGATCAAGATTCAGAAACCTATTTGAAAGACAACAGAGAACTGAAGAGGAATATTTCAGGAGAGAGAAAATTACCTATTAAGAAGTGCCTGCTTTTAATCAGCATCTAGCAACAACACGCATTCATAAGCCTCTACATAGGAATTCTCAAGAGCTGCATCAGAGAATTTATTCTAACAAAAGACATTATGAATGTAAGGAATGTAGGAAGGCTTTTAGCTGTGGATCACAGCTTACCTGACAGAGAATTCATACTGGAGATAAACCCTTTGAATGTAGAGACTGTGGGAAGGCCTTTGGCCATGGTTCACAACTTATTAGACGTCAGAAAATTCATACTGGGGAGAAACCCTATGAATGTAGAGACTGTGGGAAGGCCTTTATTCAGCTATCACACCTTACTCGACATCTAAGAATTCATACTGGCGAAAGGCCATATGAATGTAAGGATTGTTAAAAGGCCTTTAGTTGTAGCTCAGAACTTACTCAGCATCAAAGAACTCATACTGTTGAGAAACGCTATGAGTGTAAGGACTGTGGGAAGACCTGTAGTCACGGTTCTCATCTTGTTCAACATCAGAGAATTCATATAGGAGAAAAGTCTTATGAATGTAAACAATGTGGGAAGACTTTTAGACATGATTCACAGCTTGCTTGGCGTCAGAAAATCCATTTTGGTGAGAAACCCTATAAATGCAGGAAATGTGGGAAGGCTCTTATTTAGCTTTCATACCTTGTTCATCATCTAAAAATTCATACTGGTGAGAAGCCTTATGAATGTAAGAATTATGAGAAGGCCTTTAGTTGTGGCTCAGAATTTACTCAGCATCAGAGAGCTCATACTGGTGAGAAACCTTCTAAGAGTAAGGACTGTGGGAAGACCTTTAGTCACGGTTCACACCTTGTTCACCATCAGAGAATTCGTAGTGTTGAGAAACCTTATAAACATAAGGAATGGGGGGAAGCCTTTCTTCAACAATCACATCTTACCCAACATCAGATAATTCATGCTGATGAGAAACCCTGTGTATATAAGGAATGAGGGAAGTCCTTCATTTGGAGTGCCAAGCTCACTCTACATCAGAGAATTCATATTGGAGTGGGAAAAAAAACTATGAATGTAAACAGGTACTAGTGAATCCCAACTTTAAAGCTGATAACTCAAACTTTGAGTAAAGTTATGAATATAAATACAGATGGTTCCCAGCTTACAGTATGTGAAAGCAATACTCATTCAGTGTGCTCCTCAACCTACAGAGTTTTATCAGGACATAATCCAGTTGTAAGTCAAAAAGCATCTTTAATTTAGAGACGCCTTTATTCAGAACTCACACCTTACTCAACATTAGAAAATAAATGCTTTTGGGAAATAGTGTGAATGTAGGAAATGTCATCATCTTAGCTCAAAACTTAAACATCATATATTATGTATCTTAGTTTTACCTCTCAGTTATTACTGGAACATTGAGTAGGTAACTTACCTGCTCTTTTTCCTATTTATTCGTTTGTGAAGTGGAAGAAATTAAACACTTTATCCCATATGTTGTCTGTCACATGTTCCCAATAAATGTTAAAAATATCACTATCACTAGTAGTAGTATTAGGCATTGAAGATGAGTGAAGAATCCTTTTTTGTTTCTTGTTGCCTGTAAGAAAACTCTAAAGTGTAATGAATATGAGTAGGCATGTATCAAGTGAATATTCTTGGAGAAGAATGTCATAGTGTTATTCCTGTGTTCCCGGAGGTGAATGTCATTAAGATCTTGTCTGCAAAATTGTGTGTGATGACAAAGTGGTCTTGGTCCCCCATGGGTATCTTGGGAAGGTATATTGTGTCCCTTTAGAGGTGGAAGCAATCCGAAGCTGAGAAGCTGTTAAAATAGGCACTAAACAGCCTGGGCACAATGTCTCATGCCTGTAATCCCAGCACTTTGGGAGGCTGAGGCAGGCGAATCATGAGGGCAAGAGATCAAGACCATCCTGGCCAACATGGTGAAACGCCATCTCTACTAAAAATACAAAAATTAGCTTTGCATGGGTGGTGCATGCCTGTAGTCCCAGCTACTCAGGAGGCTGAGGCAGGAACATCTCTTGAACCCAGGAGGTAGAGGTTGCAGTGAGCCAAGATCACGCCACTGCACTCCAGCCTGGCAACAGAGTGAGACTCTGTCTCGAAAAAAAAAAAGAGAAAAAAAGGGAAATAGGCACGAAACAGAGCAGCTTAGCCAATTCTATAAGAACAAAAGATTTTCCAACTGTTGATTGGGTAAGCCAGTAATTTTAATATTAGGTGTTGGGTATGGGGGCGCCCTAATGCATGATGGGAACACAGCATTAGGCTTGTAGTAATTTGTCATAAGACACCCTTCATATGCTTTTTTTTTTTTTTTTTTTTTTTNATTTGGGAACAGTAAAAAAATTGAGGTGTTAGATGGATAGGCAGTGGCAATAACCATCCTTTTAATAATTAGGTTTTATATAATTAGTTTTAATCATTGAAGGCCCTGGTTCAGCTAGGGGCTCATAGGGTGCCATTTTATCAAGCCAAATTATAAGCACCGAAGGTATTTATTTATTTATTGTGTCAGAGCATCTATGTTCAACACAGGCTGTTTTATAGCAATGGATATATTGCTAAAGGGAATTTAGGCAAGGCTACAAGTAAGGCATACTCATTTTTCAAAATTTATGTTTGGTTGCCTCCTCAAGATTATAGGAAAAAACTGTTTAAATTTAGTGAGATCCTAGGGTATAACTTAAGTCCCAATATTGATCAAGTCCATAAATTTTTGTAAATTAGTGCATTTTAACAGATGTTAAAATTGAATTAAAACTGACATTATCAAGGGGCACAGAAGCCAATTAGTGCCCTTTAAATCTTTTTGCATACAAATTCTTTAGAACATAATTTAGTACATAAAATTTGAATTCCCAATTAGATCAAATTATGAAAAATATATGCACAGTTTATTTGTCATATATTTATGTGAACATATAGATTTTTTTGTAGTTCATAAGTACAATGACAGGGTCTTCACGCTCGTGTGAGATATGCCTCCCTCAAACCTTGGTATATTGGCACATTAACATTAAAAAATATATATAGAATATAAGACATATTTAATGACCTTTTACTTTCCCACTGTATTTAGAAGTTTGTTCACAAATAAGTAATCTATGGCTAGCATTATATTTGCTAGACCTGGCACTTCTTCAATACTTAAAGTTAAAATTTTTGGTTTGGTTTTAGCCACCTGAACCCGAGGTTCTGAGTTTCTGTCTTTTTGGTTGATAAGAGGAAAAGTGGGAGAAAGAAAGGGGTGTGTGGTACCTTAGGCAATAGGCTTTTTCTAAGATGGCCCCACCACAAGGTAATGTCAATTTTTCTTTTTCTTTAAGTAAAATCATTGGAATGGCTTGTATTTCTAGGTGGCTAAAATGTATATTTTTCTTTCTTGTTTCTCTTTGGATGTTTATCTGACAAATTTCTGGTGGTGTCAAGTAGCTCTTATTGTTGTGACCTTAGAAACTGTTACTGTAAAATGTCAGAGAAATCTCTGAGTATACCAGCCTTCCAAGTGTATTAATGATGAGCCAGAATTCATCTCCTAGATCCTTGACTCAGTGCTTCTGTAGCCAAAACATTTTTGGAGAATCCTATCAAAATGTACCTTTTGTTTTAAAATGAAGAGTTAAGAAATAAAAATAAAATGAAGAATTAAATTAAATCATATATTTAAGTAAGCATTGCCTATATCTATGACCCTGTGCCACATGATTCAGGATAAAAACCACCTTTTCTTTCTTCGTGATTCACCAGTTAGAACATAAACATTTATAGCACAAAACTTATTTAAACATAATTTTTAAAATAAATGGGCCAGCATAGTGGCTCACAGCTGTAATCCCAGCACTTTTGGAGGTCGAGGTGGGTGGATCTCCTGAGGTCAGGAGTTCGAGACCAGCCTGACCAACATGGTGAAACCCCATGTCTACTAAAGAAAAGCAAAATACAAAAAATTATCTGGGCACGGTGGCAGGTGCCTGTAATCCCAGCTACCTGGGAGGCTGAGGCAGGAGAATCATTTGAACCTGGGAGATGAAGGTTGCATGCACTGAGCACCATTGCACTCCAGCCTGGGCAACAAGAGTAAAACTCCGTCTCAAAAAAAACCAAACCAAACCAAACCACCAAATGATCCAGAGGCAAAAATGCAGGGTGGAAGAGATCAAGTGAAAATGTAACTACTGATTTGGATGTGTGACCAATGTGACTATTATTGGATGATGGGACAATGGATGAGCTTTCCTTTTTCTAAATGGTGCTCTTAAATATCCCAGGACTCACTTTGAGAGGCCAAGGCAGGATTATTTGAGCCCAGGAGTCTGAGACCAGATTGGACAACATAGTGAGACCCTGTCCCTAGAGAAACTAAAAAAAAAAAATTAGCTGAATGTGGTAGTACATAAGTGTAGTTCTAGCTACTTGGGAAACTGAGGTGGAAAGGACTGCTTGAACCCAAGAGTTAGAGCTGCAGTAAGCCATGATTGTGCCACTGCACCCCAGCTGACAGAGTGAGACCCTGTCTCAAAAAAAAAAATTCCAGCACTGAATCTAATCATTTCTGGACTATGGTCAATTTAATTAAACCTCTTATACTCAGTTTTAAATATAATTAAAACATTTTTTGAATATGAACTATACTAACATGTCCCAACCTGAAAACATACAAAAGAATATTGGGGGCCGGGCGCGGTGGCTCACGCCTGTAATCCCAGCACTCTGGGAAGCCAAGGCGAGCCAATCACCTGAGGTCGGGAGTTCAAGACCAGCCTGGCCAACATGGTGAAACTTCGTCTTTAAAAAAAAAAAAAAAAAAAAAGAATATTGGGGCAAAATGACTGCAGAAACAGCTGCAATCCTTTCTTATTCTCTGTACTCACCCTCCTTTAACTGGGCAGCTTCTTTCAAGAGGTGATGTTAACATTCCACTCTAGAATCTGCACTGGCCTTGTGACTTGCTTCGGTTATTTTAATTTGGCAGAAGTAATGTAAGGATAGGCCTTGGGAGTCCTTGAATAAAGTGCTAAGAATGTTGAAGAGAGAAGTAGCAAATAAATAATAGTGAAGACAGAAAAAAAGACGGAGATTCAATATTATGTAGCCTCTTTGGGAGATATAAAAACTCAAGTCATTTTGTTCTATTTGCTGTTATGAACTCATTTCTTAATAAAAGTTCATCAGCTTCATTTTTTATGAAAAAACAAGATTCTTATTCGTGTGACAAGTAACATTAGATTTTAACATTATCTTTACACATTGACAGTGATGTACTGAGCCATGATGCTGATATCACTAGATCAATATTCCATGAATAAAACACTTCCAACTTAAACATTTGAAATTTATCACTAAAATTGTTTACCTTGATTGATATTTCGCGAGGAACATCCTATATCTATATAGCTATATAGGATGTTCTGGTGAAATGAAGGCAGACCTCTTTCTTTTTACTTCTGGATGATCACTGAGAAGGGTGAGTTACACTGAACTCATTAAGCCTCTAGGTAGACTATCAAAAAATGCAAACATCAATTTACATAACAATTGTTGTAGAAGGACATTGGGAAAGGATTAGTCATCAGTAATCATGCTACATTGAGATGCATGGACCATGATAACATTATTGAGCTAAACTGTTATTACACTGTCTTCTTGTTCCTGGATTGCTTCCTCCTCCTGACCAGGCTGGGTCTCCAGCAAGGAAATAAATCTTCCTTCCCAGAAGTGAAAATACATTTAATTGCCCAGAAAAGAAGGTGACAATAAAAGCCATTGTATCCATCTCCAAAGTTGATTTTTGTCTTTGAAAATGATTGTTTTTCAGACTTGTGCTTAAATTTCCCATTGGCACTGAAAGAGGAAAGTTAACTCTCTCTTGTTGCCTCATCTCTACCATCCTCATAAAGCTCTTCCCTCAGACACTTAGGCAGAGTGGGTACCCCACTTTCTCGAACCTGATTTGTAGTCACCAAGCTCTGAGGTCTCCTTGCTCTTTCTATTTTCTAAGGATTTCTTACCTTCTTACTGTGCTGCTTTGGTGTGGGCTTGAAAGGTGCAGTTCCTCTGAAGCCAAAAGTTAATTGTATTCTTTGGATAGGAAGTCTTGCTTGAAATAAGAAATTAGGAGTTCTCTGATTATATTCATTCATACTAAGTTGTTAAATTAAGCAACTATTATGTCAGACCCTGAGCTGTATATAGGGGACGTGAATCCAAAGAGACTGATGGAGGAATAAATGACACTGCCTTAGTTTCTTGCACTCTCTGGCCGTTGGAACTTTTACTACCTCAGTAGATGTTAGGACAGTCTAAGAATATTGGGTCTGGCTTATTTTTCATTTTCTCATTTTCAGCAAACGAATAGAGCATCACGACAAATGTTTCAATGTTTCCTAATTTATTAGTGTTTCCTTATCTGCTAAATTTTTAAGGATACATGAGTGATTATTCCCTCCATTGCTTCCAAGCAAACCCAATGACCAGAACTACTGCTGTCAGAGTACTGCAACAAACACTCTATTTACACCTGGATTTGTAAGGTAGACTTACTTTCTCCCACTGATTTATCCTAATGTTTTTTGTTTGTTTGTGTTTTTGCATCATTTTCTATCTTTATCTAGATACACCTGAATTGTACTATCGGTCAGGGGCTTTACTACACTTTTGGAAATAGGTACAAGACTGTCAAGGTAATGACCTCTGCTTACTTTATTCATTTTTTTCTTTTGAGACAGAGTCTCATTCCATTGCTCAGGCTGGAGTGCAGTGGTGCAATCTTAGCTCACTGCACACTCTGCCTCCCAGGTTCAAGTGGTTCTCAAGCCTCAGCCTCCTGAGTAGCTGAGACAAGAGATGCGCACCACCATGCCCCACTAAATTTTGTTTTTAGTAAAGGTGGTGTTTCGCCATGTTGACCAGGCTGGTCTTGAACTCCTGGTCTCAAGTGATTTGTCCACATCAGCTTCCCAAAGTGCTGGGATTACAGGCAGGAGTCACCATACCTCGCCCTGCTTACATTCTTAATAAGAACTAAGAAACATGAGACACACATGTACACACACCAGTGATAAGCGTTATTAAAAGAAAACACGGCCGGGCGTGGTGGCTCACGCCTGTAATCCAAGCACTTTGGGAGGCGGAGGCGGGCGGATCACGAGGAAGAGATCGAGACCATCCTGGCCAACATGGTGAAACCCTGTCTCTACTAAAAATACAAAAAAATTAGCTGGGTGTGGTGGCGCACGCCTGTAGTCCCAACTACTCGGGAGGCTGAGGCAGGAGAATTGCTTGAACCTGGGAGGCAGAGGTTGCAGTGCCTGGTGACGAAGTGAGACTCTGTCTCAAAAAAAAAAAAAAAAGAAAAAATGCACAGAAGTAAGATTAAGTGTGGAGGTAGCTTTTGACAATATGATGAACTACGTAGACTGAAAAACGCCTTGCAAAAGATTACTACAGATGTACCATCTATTTAAAAAAGCCCTTTAAAACATATTAAGGCTTTGGAAGAATTAAAGAAAATCTTTGAAGGAGGGACTGACATGAAAACATACTATAGCTGTTGGAAGCCCCAAGGGGCTTGGTTTCCTCAAGTTTTTTGTCATGAGATCTACACATCTGCAAGGAAAAAGAGAAAAGGTCTGAGGTCTACTTATAGCAAGTTTGTCGATAAAAATAAAAAACTAAAAAGCTAAAAAATGGTTATCCTTAGGGAAAGAAGGAAGCAGAAAAAGAAACCCATCCCACAGAGTAAGAGAAAAGTGAACAGTATTTGCTTTCACACTGGTTCTAAGTGGAGGGAAAAGGTCTCCCTGGAGAATTGGTGGTCACAGGTAAGCCCTCACATGGGTTTAGAAACTGAGTACGCAGTATTTGCAAGGTCTGAAAAACTACAGGGCATGAATGTTAAGTTAACATGAACTCATTGCTAATGTCTTCAGGGAATGGTAGAAAAAAAAAAAAAAAAGCAGAGACCAGCCGGCACCCCGGAGGCACAGAGCGTGGCACAGGCGGAGCGGGGCGGGCGCGTGAGAAAG